AATAACCCATATGAACCCATGTCACAGTATGCGCCAATGTATTTTTGAGCACTGCTTGGGAGGACAATGGAAGAGTAGGTCTTGGCACAAGATACTGATTTCATATGTAAGATTTAAGGGCAGTTAATTTTATTAGTGGGTGAGAGGCTGTATGATAGAAGCAACAGGAAAAAAAGCCCAGCTCTTTAAGATGTGTGAATATATGGTGTTTTAGAAATCTAATGGCATAAATACCAAACTTGCAATGCTTTGCAGTCTCTAAACTTACTTTGTATATACTGACAAAAGATCCTAGAAAAGCGCCAAGCTGGAAGTTTTCCTTGTTGTAGAAGAGCGAAAGCAGCCGGGAAGGTTTTGTAAACAGATGCCTGAATGCGGATGGGATTCGAAGGCAGCACTGGATCAGGTATCCAACACTAAACATTCTAATGAAGCCCTAGAGAAAATGTTAAGAAATGGCAACATTAGAAAAAGGTGGGGGGAGCAAAAAAAATTGGAGAAAACTACAAGTAAAGTAATCCTGTATTATTGACACACAACCTATTAAAACACCACTTTGCAGATATTATCTGAAATGTATCCCCCTTCTTGGAACTTGAAGCTTGATTTTCGACCTAATTTCCCTGAAAAATAACAAAAGAAATAAAAAAAAAACCTAGACTGACTGCCTTTCCTTTCATTTGAATGGATTCTTAAATAGCCTCAGAGGATATGCTCTGTTTATCTCTGGTCCAAGGTTCTGTTCCTTTAAACAGTCCTGATGGCTTAATTTCCAAATTATTCTTCCCTCTTTTTCAACCACAAATGGGATTGGAGAGCAAAGCAATGCTGTAAAAATTATGCTACAGACTCAAAACCTGGAAGAAGTACTAATGGAGGAAAAAACATCCTTAACAACAAAGTCTTTTTAGAGACTGTGAGAATTAGAGTGACACTGAGTCCTTGGCATTGAATCTTACAAACAACCAATTTTGGAGGCTTTGCAAAATCTGCTGTAAGAGAAAGCTCAAAACCAAACAGGAACTCATGTGCAAAACTGTTCAAAAGGCTCACGTGGGACTTTTCCTACCCTGAAAAGCTGATACACTTCTGAGCGTCTCTTCTATAAAGTGCCATAAATAAATCGATGCTGGTTCTCCCTCAAACCTTTCTTTGGCTAGTTTTCGCAGTGGTTTCAAAAGCTTATTATACTTATTCCTAAGCCCACAGGTGACTTTCTCTGAAAAGTCTGAATAAAATGTGTCCATTCTTTTTTGAAACAGAATCATACAAATGGGAAGAAAAAATGTTTTCAGCTTTTTGTTTAGATGCTTTTCTGCAGTTTGGTAACTTCAGATAAATTTTTTTGTTTATAGCATTCTGAAAAAGCAAAAACAGTTTTTGGTTTGAAGACATTTCATTTGAAAACAGCTGAAAATCATGTGCTTGCCACTGGCAGTACATTCTTACTAAATTAGGCAGGCACTAAATGTGCACGTTTTTTGCCATTTGTTTGTGAGACTGTTCTCAGAATCATCAAGATAATTCTCATTGTCATTACAATGGGCAGAACTTTGGAATTAACAATCATCCAATTTATGAACTAAAATCTTTCTGTAGATCAATCCCTTGTTAAGCCTGCTTGCAGATGCTAAAAAAACCTCCAAAAACCAGTGCTTTACTTTAAACTTGGCATGCTCCCATGCTGAGCCCAACGCATGCCCAGAAGAGCCAGCATGGTAGTTGTACCTGACTTGCCCAAACTCTGTAAAGACTGGGCGCTTTAGTGCAGCTTTTATCTAACAACTGATTGAAACAGCTTTAGATAAAAACACCAAAAGGTCCCGTTGAAGCACTGGTTCTGTACAGAAGCTGTGGAGCTGGGTAAAAGTAATGTACCACTCCTTCCAGTAAAGCGTGGGTTGTTTTTTTTTTTAATAACATTTGCAAGCAGCAAAAATTCCTAAAGTTTTATTTTCATTAAACATCTAATTATACCCTTTTCTTCCAAAAATGATTCTCTATAATTTTTTACTTATGAAACTGTTTCTACAAACAAGGTAAGCAACTGTAACAGGGTTCACGTTCCAGAGGTGGCTGTTAAGGCCTCCTGGTGACCATGCAACCCTTGCCTTGCTTAAGCTGTAGGGTGCTCTCCCATTCTCACACATCTGCCATGCCTCAATGCATTTATTTGAACAGAAGGGAGGCTGCCTAAGGGTCCTAGAGCAAGCCCCAGTTCTTCTACCCACCAGCAGGTTTGTCTCAGACCCTGGTAGGCTCCATTCTGCCCCTCTCAGGTTAAGTGAATCCTCCTGACCTGCCCATGCCACCCCAAGGCACCTGTAGCCTTAAGGACTGTTATGGGGCTCCATCTGCCCCTGACACCATGCCTATGCCTCGTGGCATCACTCCCTTCTTGGGACCTCGGCTTTCTCAGCCTTTGCCCCTTTCCTCTGGCTGCAAGCCTCCAGCCCTGGTGCATGAATTCATGTCCAGCTATCTCAGCTTAGTCTGCTGCTAGCCCTTAGCCCTGCACTTGCTATCTCCAGCACAGCATCTTCACAGTCCATCTCTCAGCAACAGGCATTACACCACAGAAATCGTCCCTTTTCAGACTCCAGGGCCAGACTGACTGTGCTGGCTCTGGGTCTGGATTATCTCTCCCAGACCTCACCCCTTTCTGGTCAGGTGACTCCACATGGCTGGCCACAGGTGCCCTCTAATTAGGCTTATTGACTAGTCTCTAAGTCAGTGCCTTGGAGCAGTGCCTTGTCTCCCCTGCAGGGCTTCAGCCTACAGCCCTACTGCAGAACAGCTAGCACTGCAATAGGCTTCCTACTGCTCACACGGCATTTTCCTATTATTCTACTGTAGAACAACTACCTCTGCAGTAAGTACTCACAGTCCCTACATCCCTGGGCTAATTCTCCTACAGCTTTTCCCTCGCAGCCTTCTCCCACCCGGGGCTCTTCCTGGGCTCCTTCTCCCTTAAAGTAACAGGATGCCTCAGGTTCTCCGTTACAGTGATATATCATAGAATCATAGAAAGTTAGGGTGAGAAGGGACCTCAGGAGGTCATCTAGTCCAACCCCCTGCTCCAAGAAGGACCATCTCCAACTAGATCATCCCAGCCAAAGCTTTGTCTAGCCAGGTCTTGAAAATCTCCAAGGGTGGAGATTCCACAACCTCTCTGGGTAACCTGCTCCAGTGTTTTACTACCCTTCTAGTGAGAAAATTCTTCCTAACCTAAACTTCTCTTGCTGCAATATGAGACTGTTGCTCCTTGTTTTGTTATCTGCCACCACTGATCACCGCTGCCACCATCTAGCTCCATCCTCCTTTGAACTCCCCCTTCAGGTAACTGAAGGCTGCTATTAAGAACCCTCTCAGTCTCCTCTTCTCTAGACTAAATAAGCCCAGTTCCCTCAGTCTTTCCTCATAAATCATGTCCCCCAGCCCCCTCACCATTTTGGTTGACCTCTGCTGGACTCTCTTCAACTTGTTCCTTTCTGTAGTGGGGAGCCCAAAACTGAACACAGTACTCCAGATATGGCCTCACCAGTGCTGAATAGAAGGGAAGAATCACTTCCCTTGACCTATTAGAAACACACCTACCAATGCAGCCCAGGATGTCATTAGCCATTTTGGCAATACAGCCACACTGCTGGATTATATTCAATTTATTGTCCACTATAACCCCTACATCCTTTTCTGCAGAGCTCCTACCCAGCCAGTCAAAACCCAACCTGTACTGGTGCAAGGGACTGTTCTGTCTTAAGTGCAGGACTTTGCAATTGTCCTTGTTGAACCTCATGAGATTTCTTTTGGCCCAATCCTGCAATTTGTCTAGGTCACTTTGAATCCTAGCCCTACCCTTCAGAGTATCTACTACTTCCCCCTCGCTTGGTCTCATCTGCAAACTTGCTGAGGGTGTGCTCTATGCCATCTTCCAGGTCACTGATGAAGACACTGAATAAAACTGGCTCAAGGGCCGACCCCTGGAGCACTCCACTTGATATCCACTGCCAACTAGACATCAAGCCATTAATTACTATTCTCTGAGGCTGATGATCCACCTTCCTTAGGTTGCCTGTAAGAATGTTCTGAGAGACCATATCAAAAGCCTTGCTAAAATCAAAGTACACCACATCCACTGGTCTCCCCCATCCGTAGAGCCAGTCATATCATGACAGAAGGCAATCAGATTGGTCAGGCATGACTTGCCCCTGGTGAATTCATGCTGGCTGTTCCTAATAACCTTTTTCTCCTCCAAGTGCTCAGAAATGGATTCCTTGAGGGTCTGCTAGATGATTTTTTGTGGGGACTGAGGTGAGGCTGAATGGTCTGTAGTTCCCTGGATCCTCCTCCTTCCCTTTCTTAAATATGGGCACTATGTTTGCCCTTTTCCAATCATCAGGGACCTCTACTGATCACCATGAGTTTTCAAAGATGATGGTCAATTGTTCTGCAATCACATCAGCCAACTCCCTCAGAACCCTCAAATCAAATAATAATATATGGAAGTGGAAGGGCAGTATTTATGCCATGGTATTTATGCACATAAATACATTGTGTGATTTTACAATGTTGATAGTAAACAGGCAGTACCCAAAGGTCTGTATGAACTCCAGGTTTCCCTCTGATTTCATTTTTAAGGATAAGTAAATTGTATTTTCTAAATTGTTTATGGCACAAGTGTGTGTGACTGATCTTATAATGAAAATCTCTACCGCAAGCTTATGGGCTATATGGAGTTAGTGATATTTTACAAAGTAATTCAGATCTAAATTTAAGGGTTAATTCAGATCATTACATAAAAGTATAGGAAGCTTCACAATAGTCTTAATAATGCAATTATGCCCCAGCCATATTTAACAACAACATTGCTGCAAAGATTATGTTCCTTCCTCAATACTTGTATCATTTCACCCCTGTGCTCAGTCCCCCTTCTCCATCACATCACCCACAGATGCCTCTCTTTTCTTTCAATGCCACTTGGACTGCTGGCATGCTAAGACCACTACTAATAATGGTGACCAATCTGGTCTCATTGTACTCCCCAGTCTGTCCAAATACATCTGTGGTCTGTTGTCTCACACTTAAAGTGTAACTTCTTGGGGGCACAGACCAGATGGTTATCTGTTTGCACCATGCCTAGCATAGCCATGACTATGGTTATGAACAGGTGCTATATTTGTATCAGGAGAAATGCATTTCTCTTGGCACAGAAAGAACATATAGCCATTCAAGTGGTTTTTTTTTTTTTTTGCAAAAAAAGAACTGGCTCTTCCCTGAAAAAATGAGAACACTTTTAACAAGCAAGATCTCTCTTCCCTTGGGAAACCTGAACAACTGTTGGTTCCTGAGGACCCTCAGTAGCCAGCAGTGCTCCACTGTACCTCTGTCTCTCCAAGGGAGAGAGACAGGCCCTCAGATTGACCTGTCTCAAACCAA